GCCCGCTTCGGGCGGCGAGGGGGGCACCACCCGGCTGGGGGGAGGCGGAGCCGTCGAGGCGGGCGCACCCCAGAGCCCGGGCGAGGGCCCATCTCCTGCTGGCGGGGCGTGGGAGGGAGTGAGCAGGGTGCAGAGCTCGGGGGAGAGGAGCGAGGAGGGTGTCAGTGGTGCAGGTGTTCCGCCTGAATATCTCCCTGTGAGTGATAGCAAGGAATGTACAATGCTGAAACAAGTGTCCCAAATGTACTTGAAATTAAGCTGTTGAACCGAACTTTTCCTTTGAAGATAGCTAATAATATAAAAGAGCCTTACTGTGGTGGGACACTGACTAATACCAGTGTTTGGTGGTTTTACCTTCATCATTAAAACAAAAGCATGTCAGATTATCCCTGGAGTGAGAAGGCAAGACGTCTTTCATCCACTGTTATCTGATTTTGAAAAAAAATGCTGAACGTAATAGAGTCACAGAGAGAGGGTGTGAAGGGAGCGTACTGTCCCTGAGTGATCTCAGAGATGTGTTCATGATATAGAAAATGTATCTCTACTACGTTAAACATGGTAACATTCACTTAGGGTTAAATTCTGATGGAATCTGCTTATTAATTTGATCGTTCCCTCCCATCCGTATCCTTCCAGCATCTCCATCGCCAGCCAAGCAACGAGCAAAAATGGACGACATTGTGGTGGTAGCCCCGGGAACACAATCCTCACGGAATGTCAGCAATGATCCAGATGTCATAAAACTGCAGGAAATTCCAACTTTCCAGCCCCTTTTGAAAGGTAAGTGATTGTTCTTCCTCTGTTTTTAAAGGCCTTTTTTTGTATCTAATGAAGTATGTGCTTTGTGTGTCCTGAGGTTCCTACTGAAGTTCACATTTCTGTCCGTATTTTTCACTACCCCTTTGTTTTAAACCTTACTTTCTTTTGTTCTTTCATAATTATTCCCAGCCTTCTAAACAGTGGGTGAACTGGTTTAGAGGTACGCTAGTAATGTTCTCTGCAGTGGAACCATCTACTGTGGAGACAGTACAGCTCCAAGCATGCCAGCTTGCCCTGTACCACTGGTTGATGAGAGGTGCCGTGTTACATTCTAATACATAATGGACCGCAGTCTCCAGTTTTGCTCTAGGCTCTTAAAAACATCTGTGCGTTACTCTCTCGGAGTCATAGCTACCTGTGTATGGATTCAGTTGCTTGAAATCAAGATATCTTGTGGGGATTTCCAACCTAGAGCAGATTTTGTTCTTGTTTTTGGGGGTGGATGGGGGGGAGCATGGACTGAGGCTTGCATGGGTCCTTAAGCCCTGTGTTGACAAAGTCCCTTTATATCAGTGGACTTACTAAATTCTCACTGTGTCTGTCTGTCTTTGTTTTTTTTCCTCCCAGTCTTTTTTTTTTTTTCTTTCTTCCCCTGCACCCATTCTTTGTTCCTTCTATTCTGTTCAAAGGGAAGTGAAGATTCAAATCAGAGTTGTCAAACATACAGTTTACCAAAAACCGTTTGTGGTTTTTGTAGCCTGGCTTCTAGCTACCTCTTTTTCTGGACACTGTGCAGTGTCCTTGGTATCTGAAAGTCCCTTAGGAAGGAAGATGTTTGGAGCATCCTTCATGAATGGATTTGGTAAAAGCAGCCTGCTCCTGAGGTCCTCTTCCTGGAACAGTGTGGGTCAGCAAACTTGTGTGAATGTGCTGTGTAGTGGACACTCAGTAAGCCAATGTTTTCTTGAAAATTCATGGCCTACTGTGCATGTGTACATTGGCTGCAGCGCTTGCTCATGTCTTGTAGACCTGCTATGACAGAGAGGAAGGAGCTGGGATGTTTAGCCCTCCCTGCTACTGAAAGAAATGGTGTAGTCTTGTACAGCTGAGAGTTTAGGCACTACTGGTCTGAGTGTCACTGATTCATGCATGGCTGCTGGGAAGATATGGCAGCCACTTTGCCCTGCAGGCATCACTAAGGGTGATGTAACATCACTTTTTGGACAGGAGCTCTTCTCTTTTTTTTTTTTTTTTTTTTTGTCTGTGTCTACTGCATGAGGACTCTGGAACATGTGGAACCACTAGAACTTGGGGACACTATGATAGCCCAATGCGCCAAATATTTGGCATTTTATTGGGTACTACTGCATGGGGTCTAGATGCGTGCAGCACTGACTGCTGCTTCCAGTAGAAGGGACAGAAAGATAGGGAGGCCACTAAACTGGAGAAGAGCAAACATGGATATTTTGGGGGCTGGTACTGCAGTCCCTCTTGACCAAGGAGAGTGTGTGTGTGCGTGTTCTGCAGTCCCTCTTGACCAAGGAGAGAGTGTGTGTGTGTTAGTTATACTATATATTTTTTTTTAAAACTTTACAGAGGGTGATGTAGAAATCTGTATTTGGTTTATTCCAGACACTTTCACTGCCATTTTAGAATGGACTGTAAGATTGCTGATGTTGGTGCAGTGTTCGTGTCAGCAGTAGGCTGGGTCATTACCTTTGGACAGAACATGCTTTGCCTGAGCCCTGCCTTGTACAAAAGGAAGAATCAGGATCTTGCCAGTGGCTGTTCGGAATGTAAATGCTGGAACCCAAATCCACAAAAGAAATAAGGAAGTTTTAATCTGAGAGACCAAATTTAGAAGATACATTAACATCTGGCACCGAGGTTGTTGTGCATGTATAAGAGCGCAATGACGAAGAGTTTCAGTTCCACCCAGCCTCAAACTGTGGTGGGCAAACCTGGGTTGCATAAGAGCTGTGGAAGTCCTGGGAAGCGGGACTGATGATTGCTTCCAGAGGCAGTGTTCCTGTATGGGTGGTTAAGGAGCAAGGATACAGGGCTTGAGGTGGGAAGTGAGAAAGAAGAGACAGCAACAGCCATGTGGCTGAGATAGAAAGGTTAGAAAGCACTGCCTTAGATGTCCAGTCCAGGTCATAGAATCATAGAATAGAATAGTTTGGGTTGGAATCATAGAATCATAGAATCATAGAATCATAGAA